GACGAATAAAATACATTGCGAGCTGGGGTTCAAAAAGTAGTCATATGTAAACCAAATTTGACACCTTTCATGGGAAAGGTTTCGATTAGCTGATCCGATATTAATTTCTCACATCTACCTAGTTAAGTATGGCGAAATTTTACTACTTCAATGGTTTATTTTGTGAAATTTTTGCGAATTGCGACTTCCATGTAATGAAATTTTTGAAATAAGAATAAGAAAAGTATGGATAGTGTTCACAGAAAAGCTGCAATCCAATCAATTTGAACTAGAGCTTATCATTGGGTCAAGGCCTATCGTTAGTGTGTCACAATTTATCCAAATATCTCTAAAGCTGCGATGTGCAGATTGAATAAATGATCGGCATGAATAGACAGAAAAGCTTAAATCGATTTTAAATCGATCGTTGCAATAAGAGATGAGTCTGCGCATACATACATTCGTCAATTTAATACAGAACAAGTGCTAAGCATCTAAACCCCCACCCCCACCCTTTTTTATCTGTGTAGTGTAGAAGAAATGGCAATTTTGAGCGTACAATTTGAAAATGGGGCGGAAATCAGAATGAACTATTAAGTGTTTTTAAATTGACATTTACTTAAGTCTTAGAATAAACAGAAGCAGCCAATTATAATTACCACGCTGCACTACTTTTAGCAATTTTGGATATACATTACGTTAGTATATTGCTTATTATTAACTACAAGCATATCACTTTCATTACTTTTATTGCTTTTGAAGCTAATGGATTCCAGCTTTATTGTCGCCATTCTTGTCTCAATTGTGTTGGTTTTCTGCTTAAGTGTTGAATTGTGTACATGGGTGATTATATTGGACAGACAAATCTAGATTCTCTCAAACGAATATGTTTATAAGTTTCTATAATACGTGTAGGCAACTCAAAGAAGACCATAAACAAATAAATATCTTCAATCGAAGAAATACAAGCGTAAATAATACGATATGTATGCATACATTTCAAGTAGATTAAATACAGTTGTTTGCACAAATGAGAAATCAGATTCCAGATCCCTAATGTATTATATAGTAGAAGAAGATATTAAACATGTAAAACTATTTTCTATCCTTTTACCGTATACATTATATATGTAAATGTAAATTCAAGTGGATATGTATGTAAGTATGTCGGTGTTTTGGAATATATTCAAATCCTCTTTTCATTGAATGCCAAATCAATCACATGTTAATACACTTTTTTGTATATATATCTATCTATATATATATATGTATGCAAAAAAAAAAAAAAGAAAAAAACAAGAAAAGGATGTTGGATCGGTTCCACATTTAATACAAATTGAATTAATTACTGTAGCACTTGTCGGGCGGTCATTCGGTCGGCTGTTCGGTCGGTATCATGCCTGATAAATATTCTACTATTGCATATATCTACCGTACATTTACATATACATATACAAAAAATACAACAGTATGAGTGTACATTTTTAACATATCTATGTGTAAATCGGAAGTGAGTGTGCTTTAAAAGGTGCTATTCAGTTTTATATCTACAGATAGCCTTGCGAGTGTGCATGTAAAGTAGTGTATTACATAACTACACGCATTGTATATATTGATGTGAATATATGCAGGGCCATAAAAGCAATATATTTGAAGATGACAATCTATGTGAAGATATCTAAGTATAAGAACAAGAGAAAATATATACTCGTCGATTATATTATCAATTGATATACGTACTTTTGCATGTACATACATAGCACATGCAATTTTAAGTAAAGCAATAAAACAGCAATCGTATATAAAACAATGTAAAGTTTACAAAAAAAAAAAAAAAAAAAAAAAACAAACACTTGTGCATCTTTCAAATATTCGTGCACAATTACACTTATACTAGGATCAGTGTTTTTGTAGTAGTTTTGGAACTTTATGCATTAAAATTCACTGCGCGCCAATTGAACAATGAACTGATAATGAAAACAGTTAAAGTTCGCTACACGGAAACCCATTTTCAAATTTAATTAAAAAGGAAGCCATTCAAAATTGAATCGAATATTTGACTAGAAATTGCGCTTTGCGAATAGTAATACGTGCTTCAATAATATTTATAATAAGGATAACTGTTTGCACTGGACGGATCGACACACTCATCGTTAAGAATCTAGTTCAGAGTCTTATCAAATAACTAATGACAGTTCTGTAGCACATATAATTTTTGAAGTTACAATAGTAAAGAAAAACTTAATATATCGTAAAAATTATAGATGATTGATAGAACGATATTAAATTTAAGAATATAAAAAACGAAAGGAAGAGTACGGCAAAGGTTTAGGAAGAAGACAACAAAACGTTTACTTATATTAATACTATTTCGTGCCGAAAAAAAATTTTTTCCTCGCACACGAAAATACTGATTATTTAAATTTGTTTCTACTTTCTCAAATACCGGTTAAAAAAATGCCAGGTATAAAGTTGGGACAAGAAATTCATTAAGGTAGTTACTCTAACTAACATGGCTAAACCAAAATCAAAATGTAAACTATATTTTCGGACAGGAAGAATATAATTGATATTTGCTTTACTACGCCTAAAAATTCAAAATAGGATAAGAAATCTCATGAAATGCTTTTGTTATGTCGATCGAGACCCTAAATGTAAATAGAACTCCCTTTGGCCATCAATCTGTTTCTTTTGACGAAACGAAAGCTCATACTCGACGCATACACGTATTAACGATTAAGCCTATAGAGACGGATATGAAAACTTTAAAACATATTCTTCAATTAATTAACGAACTATAATTAACAGATGTTGGTATGAAGCTTGGCACAAGGATTTATTCATCTTATTGGTTTGGTAAAAAAGCATTTACACGTAGCACATCTGTTGGGGATACAGTTTTTTTTTTTTTTTCATTTTCGTGGTGGTGTTTAGTTGAAATTAAAAACAAGCCGAGCAAGATATGATTTCAGTTTTGTAGCGCTAGCCAAAAGTAAAAAATAACGCCATGATTTATTCATGTGTATTTTGTGAGGCGAACAAAAAGCGAGTGAGTTGTGCAAAGAACTGCATATGATTAAACATCAATTGCTTGACGTAAGGCACTTAACAATTGCGAATAAATTGAAATAATCTCGAAATTGGCGAAAAGCTCGATACTCCACTTTCTTATGAATTGAAGAAACAAATTTAAAATAATAAATTTATGTTCACGGTATTCATCTCAAGTTCAATGCACTCGACACCCGTTTAAAATACGTTATCATCGGCGATGATCATTATCACTAAATGAGTCACCTGTAGTAGCTTCGTATGAAAATGACCGTAACGCAGTCATGATAAATGGAAAGAAAGTAAGGAATGGCGTCGAAGCTAGACCATGTTATCATACTCCTGGTACTTCTGGTATCTTAAAAATCTTTTGTGTATTTCAAACAAGAACAGAACGGGATCCTTACCGTCAAAAACCAATGACATGTTCTCTCTTATGGTAACTAAAATAGAAAGTCCCGTAATTTTTTGTAACCTGTTTAGGAATGAGGTCGCATTCAGCGATTGGTTTGCCATTTATTTAGAATTTTCCAAAATTATTTGAATGATTAAGTGTTATAGTACTTTCATTGTTTGTGCTGCTCGCGAAATATTACAGAGCCGCTATATGAAATTTCTTCTTCTTCTTCCTCTTCTTTAATACTTCTTAGCAAAGCTCGACTACATAAATGCGGATAAGTTGGATTGGATGCAGCATATTTTTCGAATTCGTTCCAACGTAAAAGACTTTACAAAAGATATACCTTTACAATAACAACAAGGACGACCTTCCATTAGTATTTTCTGTTGAAAATTGGTCCCGTGAATAGTGATATGTGCCAAATTTGGTCGTGTTTTGTGCTTCATTTACAATGGAAATACCTTTAGGGGTCAGTAAAAGAACGGTCGCTCTTCTTTTTTTTATACTTTTTTTTCAGCGGCTACTTAAACATTCGCGTAAAATGTTTTTGTAGACCTTTTAGCTATCGAGTTGAAGTTATTTCTTTTAATATTACATTGATGTATAAGTATAGGCTACGAATTATAAACGACAATATTTTGAATGCATTATATTATTTGAATTTGCCCATTTTTTAATAACTGGCAAAGAATTTGCGGTTTCATCGCGACTATTTTCTAATTTAGTTTGTGCGTGTATGTCACTAGTTTTAGATTGCTGTTTGTATGCTTCTGAAGTACTAGAGGGATAATTATTTATAATAAAAGTAAAATGCTTTCATCTTGACACCATATATCACTTGTAGTACAAGGGTAAGCTTATAACGAGTTTAGGATGGCTCATCTTTTATTATATCGATCGAATCAGAATCACTTTCTTGTTTGGTTTAAGCCTGTCTGTCTGTCTGTCCGTCTGTCCATTTGTACGTCTTGTTATGTTATGTTCAACCAACAGATTACAATTTTTTAAACATTTTGATGAAATTTTCTACACTGGTGTGCTTTGGTCGAAGGATCGGACGACTGTTTCGACCACTCATTTTGAAAACTCGTTATGTGAATACCTATAAGGTGGTGTACGGTATTAAATAGTGCGCCGTGTCCTACCATAGTGTTTTCATACTTTTTATACTTCTTTTGTTGTGAAAGCGTGCAGAGCCAAATAATCAAATACCTAAGCTTACGTAGAATTCTCGACTTGTAAACTAAATTTCTTTACTAATTTATAAATATTTACATCGGTGTTGATTATATTTACTGATTACATCTAAAAAGTTTCTTATTCGATTTGTTCCTTCGATATTTAATTCTTTAAATAACTGCTGTAGTGTAAAAAGTGTTTCAATTTTCTGTTTGAATTTTGAATATATACTTAACGATTATTATACAATAATAATATATCTCGCCCGCGTGTGCGTGTATGCGTCCTTGTGTATGAAGTAGCAATATTGACAATAGAAACAACTAAAACGACTAAGACGACCATCGACACATCTGATACATCTGTAAAAGGAAATTTAATTAGCACTCACTCTCACCTGCACTTCCAAAGCATGATAAGCTATAATTAGACCTAAAAGAATCACAGTCGAAACCGATATTAATGTTTTAAGCGCCGTGGAATAAAAGGATGCCTGAAAGAAACGCGATACGTGAAGAAAATAGAATAAGAGAGAAGAATAATAATAGAATTAATTCATTATAACTCCCGTGTAAATAATATACAAGCAAAAAACAAAAAAAATAATAATAATAAAAAAAAAATAAAAATAAAAAGGGAAACAAGTACACAATTATCGATTATACCTTTGTGTAAACGCCAGCGCTGCTTAACTCATTCTCAATAACCATCACAATAATGCCAAACATACCCATGACCAAAGCGTAGTCACTGATGCGTTTGCGTTTCTCGAATAAAGCTTTACGTTTCCCAAGTCGATAGCCGACATTGGGTTTGTGTTTAGTGGAATTTGTCGAAGGTTTTCGGGATGTATTACCGCCAGTTAAAGCGCGTTCCTCCATATACCTGAAAATTTAAAAAATCATACAAACAAAAAGCCTCATTATGCATGAATTTGGAGAGATTTAATAAATTTATTTTATAGGAGTCCCCCCCGCAAGTTGCCACATACAATAAATTCTGTTTATGGCTTAGGCTTAATGTAATTTTAACTTTATTGCAGAGGGTGATTAATTCTTTGAATCGGTTTTTAAACGCATTTCTATGTCGATGATTGTAGATAAATAGTATAGTAACCTTGCTCTACGATCTACAACAGCCAGAATTCAGCATCGTAATCTCTGAACTTTCCGAAACAATTTTCGTCGCAGTTACGATAAGTTGATCTAATTATTTTTGTTAGTTTACGCGTCTACGCGCGTTTACGCGCCTCTTATCGAGATTCAATAGTAAAAATAATAATCTGACGAAAATCAGGCCAAAGAGGCTAGGGCCATAAAGTAAAAATTGCTCTTCATATGTATACAACGCACATATAGTCTCATCATTTTTCTTATACTGTGGCAACTACGAGTTTATATATTGGCTCATTCAGTTTAAAGGTTCATTTACAATTTCCCGTAACTATGTCATATATAAATAAGGCGGAGCTTATATATATAAGAATGATGATGATATTCATAGTGATTATGATAAGGATAATCACTATAATGATAACCATAACGGCAATGATAACAATAATAATAATGATAACCATAATGGTAATGGTTGTCGTAATGATAACGATAATTATAATGATGATGATGATGATGATGATGATGATGATGATGATGATGATGATGATGATGATGATGATATCCATAATGATAGTGGCAATGATAGTAGTAAAAGATAATGACAGTGGTAATGATAATAATAGCCATAATAATAATGATGAGAGCAATAATGTTTAATATTACTGATAATGATAATGTTAATGCTAATGATAAAGATAGTGATAATGATAACGATATCGGTAATTGTTAATAATAGTGATAATGATAATGGTTATGATCTTGTTTTATGAACGACTGTTTGAACGACTCCCTTCTAAGCTATGAGTAGAAGATGTGTTCAGTTCCGATTCTATATTCATCTAAATTTCCGAATATTCCTAATTTTCTGCGCAATTAGTAATTCAGTTCGTTCAGTTCAGTTCGCGTTGTTTTCTGGTATTCATCGATGGCAATTCGAACGTTTGAATGAACGTTAATCGACTAATTTGATTGAAAGTAAAATTTTATCTTTCTTTAAATAATTGGGAATAGTTAGTAGTTCAATGTATTTTATATTGTGAAACACGAATTTCAGCATATGAACATGTAATAAACATGTGCCCAACAAAGCTATAAAATCTTATTCAAATCAAAATAATTCAGTTTTCATACTGTTCGCTGTAACTTTGAAAATTGTTACAACAGATTGGGAAACAGTTGGATAAATCGTTTTGGCACGGCACGTTAATCATATTACAAATACAAAGTGTGTGTTGGTTACATACGGAACTAGAGAATAAATATGTTCTTATCCCTGAATGGTAAATTGAAAAAGAAAAGCATTAGCAAACGCGAGCAGGTGTTTATGAGAGGTGTTTATAAGTGACCTTAACACTTAACACTGCTCTGAAATACTGATTTGCGTGCAGCAAATATTATGCTCAAACTATTCAATTAGTTTTCTCAGGCAACGGCTTACACAAAAGCTTTCCAAGCAATAAATTTTAAAATTATTTTTCATAAACTCAATTATAAATCAAAAAAATGAAATGAAAATGGAAAATCCTCCTTTCGTTTCTATACATCTATGACATAATATTTTTACTATAAAAGCTTGCATGTAAGGTGTTTATCACAGCAAAATGTTTTTTTAATGGCAGAGTTTTCGCATACTGATGCTGCTGCACATACATCAATGTGTCTAATATATGTTACATATCGCATCTACATTTTGTAATTTGTAATAGAAGTGGAATGCAAAGAATGTTTGTCTTTTTACACATTTGCAAGCAGACGTTTCCACTGAAATATAGTGAAATTGAATTCATTATTTGTCGACTACGGATGCGTTGGTAGAGATTTCAACATACAAATATGCAAGTTTATACATATGAAGGAGCTTTTGTTTGTCCGCATGTTTAACAAGGAGTCACCGAAACAACCCCGAAAAGTATGTGTGCTTTAAATGTAATATAATATTTATGCACATCTACACTCAATAAAATATTTTTTTATTTTTTTATTTTTTTTTGTATACATTTATATATATTGAAGATAAATAAATAAATGTTATTTGTTATAGCGGATGTCACACTGGACGGAAATATTGTGAATGTGTGTTATGGTTCTGGCCTAGACAATAAAGAGGATGCTTAAAATAAATGAATGGTAGACCGACAATTTATTTTTGCAGACTTCGTTTCAATATAGAAAGCGACGGAATGACAATCTCTTTGACAAAAAAAACATGAAAAACCCTGTTCAACAAATGAACATCACAGGCTATAATATTCTGATACATTACCTCTTAGCTTGAATTAAGTTATGTTGTGCTAAAGCTTTGATTTCAACATTTTCGACAATTTTCCAGCAGATTCGTTCAATAATAATATGAGAAGCATAGAGATGCAATTCGATATCATTTTCGATTTCAATTTTATGGGATATTTAAGACGTAGAAAAATATTAAGCTCAAAATGCGATTCGGCAGGGCATAAAATAAACGGATCAGGGAGAAAATATCATGAGCTCTTCTCATCAACATTGGAAAAAAAAATATCCTCTATCTTCAACGAACATTGACAAAAGTAAATATGTGCCATTTCGATCGGGAGCAATTACTGTAGCACTTTTAGGATTCCTAACCCAAAAGGTGAACCAACACACAGGTCTCTTTTGAAAAAATTTTTGCGCCGCTAGATGCGAACTGCTTGATCGGTTCAGCAGAAAAATCGGTAGCAGAGAAATTTTTACATTTTCAAATTTTCTTATGATTTTAATCGCACGGTTAGTTTTGAACAGATTGGATTAGATTCAAATTTGATTTGTTGACTTAAGGTGGGAAATTAAATGCTGAAATTCATGAAAATTCGAGCCAAGAGAAGAGGCAGAAAATGGCGATTGTGCAGAGGAAAATTTATGCAATGTGTATTTCTGGGTGTCGCAAAATGAATAGAAATATTTGTATAATTTCCGTCCTTGCATATGGAAAGGTCTTGATTTAATATATACGAAGAACATGTTATTAATTCCGCCTGTCATAACCTGTCCTTTGTTAGCTTCAATGCTTTCTACGGATCACAAAAGCAATTTACGTACATTTTTAAACAATTTTCAAGAATTATATATAATTTAATAAATCTCACAAGAAGATGGTACTCTGACAAGTCTTCGACTTGTAGGCTTGTTACCAATATCATGTAAGCTTTTTTGGAAAGCATTACTAAAGTCCTCTGTGTCCCGTATCTAAAAGGAAATCACAAATTTGGATATAGACAATCTCAGCACAATAGCGCACGTACTGTAGTCGACTGTAGTGAGATCTTTTTGAAAAACGAAAATATTGGTTAGCATTTTTTTTATTGATAATACCCGAAAAAGTGTGGTACAAAGGCATTACGGGCAGAATTGAAAGGGTATTTAAAGAGAAGTGCTGGAGTTGATGTTCAAAAGATATCTGCCCGACGGGACATTCCTGATACGAATCAACGATTCTTAGTCGACCGATATGTGGATCCCTTGTTAGAGACTTGCAACCCTGTCTCAGTATCCACAAGACACATTACAAAGACGCCTTACAAGCGTATATCGTATGCAAGCGAAAATAACTTCGGCCAAAATCAATGAAGTGTAGTTTCTATTAAGGTACTAAACGTAGCCTTTTCCGAAAAACATGCAAATAAAGCTTGACAAAGCGAGTGCCGTAATAAACACGTATTGCCGCATTTCAAGAAAAATGATTCGATTTATAAGATTTTAGTATGTATTGTAATCCGTAAAAGAGCTTTCATTATCTCAAATAAAAACCTAAAAAGGCTATTTAATAATGGGCTTTGCCCAGCCTTAGTACTTTCGCATGTTTAGCTGTCTTAAATAAGCTTATTATCCCACTTAATTCTGGGCATGAAACCATAAAAGTATGCAGAAAAGTGAATGGACGAAACCGAGTCTTTCGTTAATCGGACGGACATAATAAATATAGGATTTTTAAAGGGAATTTTTGATTTTTACAATTGGCAGACTTCTTATCTGTATTTAATTCTTCTAACATACGAATTATTCTATATGTATGTAGTTTGTAAATATTATTGTATATATTATATTCATATTTTATAATTTTTCAATCATTAAAGAAGGCACACACACACAAGTGACTTACTTGCCTAGTGAAACCAGGCAAAATGGTGGATTGTTCAGGATTCATTTTAGGTAGATCTATAAAGTGCTAAATGTTTTTTTTTTTTTTTTTTGAATTCTAAGGCAAAAAGGGAAAGCGGGCTGATTTCTAAGACAAAAAGGTATAGATAGGTATGGTATTTGTGTTCTACGTATTGGTTTCATACTAATATTAACATAAATATAATAATAAAAAATGTTATTTAACAAATTCTACTTACTAGATGCGGATGGGAAGGATTTTGGATATACATACATTTCATACCTTGGATAGTCGGTATTTATGCCAACTAACGCCTCTGCTGCTTCTTCGTTGCATCCTGATGAGATCTGTTCCCGATTCGCAATGGAAGGTGTTTTCATCGAGCCAGGAATTGAAAGAGTGGATGCCGGTTTGCGGAGCTGTGTATGCAGTTCAAGAAAATCGCGACGGATAAGTGACGGTGGAAAGAAAAGAGAGAAGGAAATATATAATCAAATTAATATCACTTCACAGATCGATACAATGCTACGGTGAGGGATGACTTTACTAAATATCATTGCATAAATCCATATACATATACACGCACACGCTTAAATATTTTATCTACTCATTTATTTGTATGTGTAAGCGGTGTGTGTATGTGGCAATAGTCAATAATTGGCTCATCTTAACGCAACAACAAACAAACACAAAAGCAATGGAAAGCTTGTGTAACAATAAATTTTTGAGTTGCATAAAACTTTATTGTGCTTGACAGACATACATGCGGAAAGCGATAAATGCATCTATACCCTGACTTACACGTTATCATCTTTTTTTTTTTTTTTTTGCTTCTTTCATATACCGCTAACTCCTTAATGAACAATTTGATATAATGCAGTGTCGATTCCTTGTAAGGACTGATACCAACAAACACAATGTCGACGACACATAGTTGATGTAGGAGTGCAAAGAGTTAATATTAAGCGAGCCTAACGTTGAATACGAAGAATTTTTGTTTTTTCTTTTGTGATTGCATATTTGAAAATGCTGTACTTTTAGGAAGCTTTTATTTCATTGACGAATAATAAATATTATTGTTTATGTTGTATCCGTGTAAATCGTGGAATAGGTGTATGTATCTCGTGCAGTGAACTAAAACGAGGTCACAAAATATAATTTGAAAGAAGAAAGCAAAGAAAGGAATGACTAGATTCCACAACTACAGTTGACAATTTAAAATTGGTGGTAAAATGTTATATCTATGAATTCATACTTCATACTCTTTTTGCTGTACAGTAGCGACACAGGCATCCATGCTTGCACAACACATCAAACACGCACGCACACTCAAGCACACGTACACACTTAAGTTGTGTGAAAATAAATTAGATAGAGAATCATGCCAATTATGCTCGCACACACAAAATGCATGCGTTCGTAGACCGAATAATATATGCACAAACGCATGCACACGAAAATGTACTTAGTTATGATAAACAGTATCGATTTTCATTTCAAGCCGAAAACTTTTGCACCCACTGATGGAGGGCACAAAAACTTGGCCAAACCGCTTGGAGCGCGCAGAAGAAATTATCGAAGTGATGTATGATATAAAATACATTTTCGATATTCGTCTCTTATATCGAGTATAGATTAGTACCAAAAATTTAAGCGTAACGAAATCTGCGTCTCATTTTAAAAAGAGTCGATTCGAAAGGAAAAAATTTAATTTGATCGTAATTTGGCGTCCTTTCGGAATTTGTTATATCGAAAAAGAAAAATATTATACTGAAAATCACATTTGATTCTCATTACTGTTACAACAGGCAAGGCTTACAGGAAATTCTTAGTTGTTCATCATTTTTAGCAAAAATGTTACCGCATCAAAGATTTTTATTTTTTGCTGAAAATATTAGGTCGTTAAGGATGAAATTTGTATAAAAAAAAAGACAAAGTTACGAATTATTTTATTCATCCAATTATGCGCCCATATTGTCGATACACTTTTGCCGCTTAAGCGGCAGCTTGTTCAGGCGGGTGGTATAAAACCCAGGCGGACCAGAGTCTGTGAATTACTAGAAAGCTAGTTTTACCGCATTATCGGAGTTAATATTTTCTCCTATCAAGAAGCTGTCCAAATTGCGAAAGAAGTGGTAGTCAGTGGGAGCTAGATTGGGTGAGTATGGAGAACGATAAAGAAATCCAGTTATTTGCGCAATGCATAGTCTGGCGTTATCTTGCAATAAGATGAGACGAGTCTGGTTTCATGAAATCGTAATCGACCACACTTGAGCTAGACCGCGACCGCGTGGATCATTTGTGAGATCAAAGTTATTAATGCTGAAATGAATGAAATTTGGCGAACGAATTTCATACTGTCTGCTGTGTAGTTACACTAGAAATAAATTCACCATTTATGTCTCGCACGGTCTGCGATGCCGTAGTTCCACGCAAGTGGATCGAGTGTGTGAAACACGATCATCGACTCAGGCGTACATGTGAACATCTCATTTAAAAGATTCTTCGTCGTGCGTTCAAAAGAAAAGATTCAGTCACGTTGTTGTCATAAATGGCGTATAATATTTGAAATAAGCAACAATTTTACACACACAAGGTGTTTCAGATTTATGTCTATGGTAAAAACTACTACTAATAACATAAAATATAACTTCGATTGGCTTTTTTGTTGGACTATGAAGTGCACGAAATTAATAAACTAGTTATACGATAAAAATTAAATAAAATTAGAAAAGAAAGCTTTCTCGAATCAAATTTTATCCAGCATAATTACATCGACAAGTTTGTAGCATATGAGGAATGAAAACTTATATAAACTGATCCTTCTTCGATGAAATTCTTTGCCTAACAATCATCTTTATAGATAGTTACTAACAACAACATATTTTTTTTTTTTTAACATAGGACACTTCATTTGGTTTTTCCTAAGCGTCTATATCTTCGTTATAATATTATTGAAAATGTCAACCCAAAAGAAAGTACTATGCACGGTGAGCGACCTGCACATAAGTTGTTTACTGAAAATGTAGCATATATACTCAGAAAGAGGTGTTCGAGTTCAAGAGACTTTGCAGTAACTGTTTGTGGTTTTCTTCCGAGTAACTGTGGCTTGTGGCAGCATTGACCAGCATTGATGTCAGCTACATTGGCCAAATCTGATTGAAACTGTTTATTCCATTTGGAGTTTTTCAAAGGATGAAAAAAAAAAAAGCAACTATGTCGAAATGGGCGGGCCTCCATGCAACGGTGCAAGTTGTTAAAAACCGTGAATTGTGTGTGTGTGTGTGTGTTTGTGTGTGTGTATATATTGCGTAGTAAAAGTTGCATGAACGAAAGATTCCCACAGTGGACGATTGATTTGATGATAATATATTGAAAAAGTGAAAAAAATTGTTGTTAGTTTCATATGTCTCTTCGTCCCTGTTATAGCTTCTAAATTATTAACGATAATGTTTGCAAAGTGATTAGCTAAACTCTTTTCAATTTTTATTTATAAAGTGTTTTAAGCAGAATGAAATACTTGTACATCTTAGCATCTAACACCTATTGTCTTCAAATTATATAGAATATGTTAGTAAATCGATCAAGCAAAAGTGTGTGCACTTTCTTGTACCCACGACTCATATTTTCCCCGCATGTTTTTTAGTTACTCGGGGCATAGCTTTAAGAATGTTCGGACTTTTCTTCATATATATATATATATATATATATATATATGTATCTATATAGTTACTTACGGAAAGAGATCTCATTTACACACAGCTGTCACACAGCGATAACATTTGACAAGTTAAAACTAGGAAGTTTTCTCAGATACGGACAAAATGCTAAAATAAAAAAAATTTTATTGCCATGATTTTTTGTTTTTCTTCCGTTTGGGTACATAAACAAACAAAATTTGTCGTGTTTAGCGTTTCGAAAGCCCAAGACATGTAGTCAAATTTTCTTTTCAATCACATCGAGTGAATTTTACTGATCCCTTTGGCATTTAGATGGCGCCATCTTGTACAGAACTTGTCAAGCAATGTCTTACAAAGTTTATACGAAATTTCTTGTTGTTGAAAACTTCTTTCTGTAGTTGCTGGTGATGACATTTTACGCTTACTTAAATATTTCCTGACGGTGGGCGTTCAGTCATGTAGCTTTTCCCAAACTCACGCAAAGTTTGAACTTTGCACCATTTGTGTAGCAAAGTGTTGCCAAACCAAAAAAAAAAAAGTAAGAAAATTATATTCGACTCGTCAACGCAATCATCTTAAAGAAAATGAAATCAATTCGGAGGAACTGCAATCTTGATATTCTATATTATTAGGTTGGACTTGCAGATTTTTTCCTTTTCGTTGTAGCTATCAAAAGTCTTTTTATAGAATAAACATACAAGTTTTTACCGTTATTTCCGTTGTAGTTTATGCGTAACGAGCGCAAAACAAAATGAAACTTTTGTTTGTCTTTGATAGCAAAAGCTTTCTCAGGTTGCGTTGTATTGTGGAGGAGTGGCAGTCGACAAATTTGAAGCGGACATCTTCACTTTTTCGACTTGAAGAATTGCACAGAGAGACATGCTGAAATTGATTTAGAATTGGACACTGATCAAGTATATATACGCTTTATAGGATCTCTGAAGCATTCTTCTGAATACTGCAAACGTTTTGACGACATGAACATACCTCCATCCTTTGGTGATAAATATGCAAAGCCTACAGCGTGTCAGCAGATTTTTCGAACTTAATTATCTTCAGCAACGCAATGCGTTTCCATCTCGATGGTTTGATTAATCGATAACATGCTCTCGCCTTTTATGTTCAGAAAATTCAGGAGGGATTGTTGAAAAGCGGAATGCACAACGCATCACTGTTTGGTTGCGATTTTCAGGTGGAAGCATTATCAAGTCATATTTTTCAAAAATCGCTTTTGGTCGCTGATTTTTTTGTGCTTAAATATTAAGACATCAATACCGTATGCTATCTATATAGCCCAAGAATCCATTCAATTACTATATGAAAATTCATTTAAATTTAAAAAATGGCTTGAAATTTGGGACACTTTGTACTGTATTTATATGCGAAAAAAAACTTCCTACATTGAATCATACAACATGCATATAAAAGCGTTGTCAATATAACACGCTATCGCCTTGTTTAACCTTGAGAGGGTTTGGCTTACAAAGTAGTGATAGTGTCTCACGTACCGTAATGCATAAATCGAAACAGACCAAGTAGAAAGTCATTCGATGTGTAACACTTCAACATTCATCCGTTAGGATTGTGACAGCATTGGGAAAACCTTGCTAAAAAAAGGTCCATTTAGTCCTTTGTATATACACTAAATGCCAAAAGCGTTGGAGTTCTAACTCACTGACATAAGAACTTTATACTTCCGGATAAAGAAAGAAAAATTAGGCATAGGCAATGGATGTTAT